GATGGGGGCCAATTGGTCAGCACAGACTTTTAAACAAGAAGGAGTTATATTTATTTGATTTGTCAATCGCTTACAAGATAATAGGTATAAGTATAAACATAGTTATGAATACATGAAATGGATACATATAAGAAAAATAAAAAGAATCAAGATGACAGGAATGGTACGCACTTTCGTGCGCTTATGCACGTCCTTTACAGACCTCTTAGGAAAGGGGTGAGGTCAATAGTAGACAGTTTAAGGTTAAAGTTTTGGGGGTTTGGGGAAGAAACCACAGAGTCAGGTAGAGTATTCCAGACATTGACCACTCTGTTGCTGAAGTCGTATTTCCTGCAATCAAGTTTGGTGTGATTAACCTTGAGTTTGTATCTATTGTCTGCTCTTGTATTGTTATGGTTGAAGCTGAATTATTCATTGACAGGTAGGACATTGCAATGTATGATTTTATATACTATGCTTAGATCGGAGCGAAGATGGCATAGTTCTAGGGTTTTTTTTAGTTCTTGTCTGGCCCTGGTGCTTTTCCTGACTTTCATCTGTGTAATAGATCTTGCACTTCTTTTTCTGTGATCACCAGAGGTTGTGAACCCAATGAATTGGGGCCAGTTGTAGGAGGCTTGGCTGTTGTTGGTGTGTTTGAGATGTGGGTTGTAGAGATAGGTGGCTGTAGTTTCTTTTCAAACCTGCAGTAAAGCACATTCTGGTCATCTGCTAGTTGTTGATTTCCTTCTGCCTGGGAAGGAGATTTGCTGAAGCCAGTGACATTTCTAAGAGTTTTCCACATGTTTGCTGGTTCATTTGTTGATAACTGATTCCTTAACTTTTCAGAGCAGTTTCTTTTTGCTGCTCTGATCTCTCTTGCTAATATGTTTCTGGCCTGATTGTACAGCATTCTGTCGCCTTTTCTATAGGCTTCCTCTTTGGAATGACATAGCTGCTTAAGTTTAGCTGTGAACCAAGGTTTATTGTTACTATATATTTCAGGTTCCTTGTTAGTACACATAAGTCTTCGCAGAAGCTGACGTATGATGTATCTGAGCTCATCTAGGTCTGCAGAGGCATCTTCAAAAGCATTCCAATCACTGCAATCAAGGCAGGCCTGGAGTTTCAGCTTTGCCTCATTCAACCAAGTCTTCACTGATTTAATTGTTGGTTTCATGGTTTTAAGTCTTTGTTTGTAGGCAGGTACAAGGTGAATTATGCAGTGGTCAAGAGTGTCCCATAGCTGCTCGTGGTAAAGACCTATAAGCATATTTTACTGTTGTGTAGCAGTGGTCTAAAGTATTTTTGCCTCTGGTGGGACAATTTACATGCTGGAAATATTATGGGAGCTCTTTCCTTAAATTTGCTTGATTGAAACCTCCTAAAATGATGGGAAGGGAACCTGGGTGTTCGGCTTCAGCCTCTATAATTTGATCAGCAGAGTTCTTAATGCCTTGTTTACACAGGCTTGTGGAGGAACATACACAGCTACATGGAGAGTAAAATGACTTGCACTTGATGTGTAAAGACTCTAGTTTTCATCACATAACTTATTATAATTATATTCTGAGACCACCTGTTGATATATAAACATAATCCTCCGCCCTTTGTTTTACCTGATGTCTCTTCAATTCTGTCTGATCTAAATGTCTGAAATCCTGGCATGTATATGGTGTTGTCCCTATGAATTTATGGATTATGCCAGATTTCAGTAAAAAAAGAACTGCAGAATTATAGAAATCAGAATTCCATCTATTTAAGAGATGAATTTCATCCATTTTGTTAGCAGGTGAGTGTAAATTAGTCAGAAAGATTGAAGGGAGAGGAGTTCCCCCCCTCCATTCCTTAGTCTGTTTAAAATTCCTGCTCGTTTACCTCATCTCCTTTTTCGGCGTTCCTCCTTTGTTGTAATCCATAGCACCGGGAATTAGTTAGAATTAGTTAGAATCTCCTCCGCGTTTGCAAAGACAGGTGGGGGGGAGGAATCAGAAAGCTGCTCCTTAAGAAAACATTGCCTAATTCTTAGCAAATGGTCTCGTGAGTATGAAATCCGTAGTGAATTGCAGATGATAATAAGGAATAAAGAAACCATTAGAGAGCATTTCACCAAGGCAGCTGTTGTTAGCCCAATCTTGGTCTTAGACCAAGGTGATCTTTTAACAGCCACTTGATTAGTTTGAATGAATGAAAGGTGCTTTCTATTGAGTAATAGAATAAAAGAACACTGCATTCTAAATCAGATTTCTTATTCATATTGCAATCTTTATAATCCATTCCAATTCCAACAATGTCTAACCCGGATACAAAAAAGTGCAAAAGATAAAACCAGTATAAACAGTTAATTATAATTAAAAGCCATTAGTGAACATCACTGTTCCCCTTAAAATTAAACCTAGGACTTTTGGATTTGGAACAATGCAAGCCTGGGATTCAGGACAATCTACAGAGTTGCCTCTGCATGGCCCCATGGGAGTCTGACAACCAATCAGAATACAAGCTCAAATTCAAATCCCAACAGAGGGCATAAAACCAAATGTCTCTCAGCATCTTGCCACTTTTTCTTTTCCTTCACCCAACATGTTGAAGTATGTGGTCATTCATTTCACTTTGCAACCCCAAAGTTGTCCTGTCTACCATTAAACCATCTTTCCAAGTAGTCACTATATTTTCAGTGTCTTTCTTCCCCACTTGAAACTGACCCCAGAAGGATATTTCTTCTAACACTAGAATATTTCATTCTTCTAGGAGAGGGGTAAGTGCTAACTTTCTACATGAGTAACAATATGGGATTAGAACTCAGTCACCAGATTTTTAGCCTAGTGCCTTAACCACTAGGCCAAACTAATTAAAAATTGGGATAATCATTAGATGAAAGCAACAAATTAGGATTTTCTGAATTTGTTTGATCTAGTTATCTGAATGTTTCTATCCCAGACTCCAGAGTTCTAGTAAAACTTTTGAAACTTTCTATGCAAGAACTGTGCTTACCTTAAAAAAGTTGGGTAAGTTTGCAAAATAACCCTTTAACCAGGTTTGCTACTTTATGTGTCCTCTGAAGCTGAAATGGAAACTATTTGGAATAAAATAGCAGTTATCCAAGTCCCACGGTATTTATTTTTGTTTTACTTAACATTTTTCCATACATACATAGTTTTAAGGCTTTGCAGATGATGTTATAAAGTGGGGTTTGAAGCCTTTAAAAATAAGTAACTAGATCTTCACTGTTTACTCTAATAAACAGTTATTAGCTATACCATTTATACGCCGATTTATACAGTAAGAATTTGGGATTATCCTTAGAAACTAAATGAAGAGAAATTTAGGGCTGATAAATGATCTTTTTATAACAGAATTAAATGATGAGATATGTTGCCATTAATTGTGGTGAACATCACCATTTGGATGGATTTCAAAGGGGACCAAATATACTAATGAAAGGCCGTAATATTTACCCTAACCTTAGTTTAACCAATTTAAGGTGCAGCATACATACTTAATGTTTCTGCCTTTTATGTTTTGCGAAATAGCTACCTGTGAGGTGGGCTGAGCTTAGAGGGACAAAGAGATTGCCCCCAAAATATACTCTATATCCATGACAAGTGATTATTAAAATATTCACTGCTTGGGACAATCCATGTAAGACAATTATTATTTGCGAGCTTCCTGAATGCATCTGGCCATGCTTTGTGTGACACAGAATGATAGACTATTTTTTTCAAAGTTGCTCTCTTTTAGTCACAATGATTTTCAATATTCTACTATTTTAACTTTATATAACATTGGTCACAATTTCTCAAAATAAATCTTAATATTTTGTTAATAGTTATTCCCAACCATACAAAACTTAGATAATTTATTAAGATATGAAAATTATTTCTATATACTGCATCTATTTCCCCAAATTTTGTGCTTTCTAGACCAATTGGAATCAGTAAAGAAGAATAAGCAGTATTCTAAATAATTGTTGAAACCTGGAACTTTCTAGATAAAATAGGTATGTGTGCTTGTACAATTGATCAGGCTTTCAGAACAGACAAGGCCTTTTTGTGGCATAATAAAAAAATACTAGGTTGGGAAGATTAACACAAATAATGATGAAAAGTAATTCTGGTGTCATCTTGTGTCTGCAAGCAAGGTAAGCTGGTGGATCTACCATAACTTCTATTTAACAATATCTGGCTGTTACCTTAATTGTGCTGATTCATTGTTTTGTAATAAAAAGCAGAAAAAAAATCTTTTAACCATTCAGTCCATTTATAAAATGACTGCAACTATATATGTACAATAATATATAGCAAATTACTAATGAAATCACTCTTACAGTCCAATAATAATAAACTTTCCAAACTATTTTTGGATATTTTGTCCAACCACCTCCTGCAGGCCCTGAAAGTTTAAAAAGACAAGACTTGAAAAAAGCCAGAAGAAAATGGAGCAATATGAGCAATAGAATCAAGATTCAATAGACCGAATTAACTTTATATTGAAATCAAAAGGCTTTAATATTAACAAAAGTGAAAAGAGAAGACAACCAGCAGTGGATGGACTGTATTACAAGTGTTGATGAGTGATCCATTGGAAGCATTGAAAAAACAAATTAAGATAGATCATCATAAACAAAATTTGTGGTCACTGAAAACATGGCACATAATCAATCAATTGATGGCATATCAATCAATCAACAAGTCTTTTTTAGTTTTTTTTCTCCCCACTTTTCTTTTAATCGTGGTAACAAAGGTCTTGTCCCAAAGGGTTTTTTTCAAGAGACAACTGCACTTTCTGGTTTTTTCTTTGAAGATGTTTTGCTTCTCATCCAAGACGCTTCTTGAGATGACAGGATTTATATTTCTTGCAGAGCAGACAGCTGGTAATTTGCATCCTGCTTTGAGCTGAAAAAGCGTCTTGGATGAGAAGCGAAACGTCTTCAAATAAAAACCAGAAAGTCCAGTTACCTCTTGAAGAAAAAGAAAAAAAAACACCGTTGGGACAGCTATAACCTGGATGACTGAGAATCTCCATAACTAGGTCCTTGTTGTATTATCACTCGTGACTTTGGTTGCCGAGTGGAAGCAGTCACAACTAGACCCGTCCGTTACTGTCCTAGGATTTCGTTCTTCTGTTTCGGAAAACAGCTCTTCCCTGGGCAAGGAAAACAGGACACAAACACGAAGCTTTGCCTTATGTCCCGAAGTTAGGCCCGCCGTTTCGGAGCTCGCGATTCGTCGGAAGTATTGCCCGTGTCTCGAGCGCGCACTTCCGGGGCTTGTCTAGCCGCGTTCCTTCCCCTTGGTGTTGGTTGGGAGCGGCCTGGGCGAAGTAATACTGTAGCAGCACCATGGCCGGCATCAAAGGTAGCCTTGTTGGGTTGATTTCGGGGAAGGGCACGGGAGGAGGGGAGCTACTTGGGGATCGGATCCCCCCCCCCCCACCCAGATCAGGCAGTTGGTGGAGGGGAGGGACGTCGCCCCCACCCTGGCGATGACGCACGCCGGCAAAGTTGCGGGGGAGGGGGAAACCCGCGCTGGGTTTCCATGACAACTCAGCCTGCCCCGGTGCATTGGCTGCGCCGCTGAGGTTTGAGAGCTGGCCTGTGGAGAGCCCCCTGTTGTCTCCTTTTGCCTGCCTCTGCCCGATGAGAGACAACAGGGCTCGGCGCTGCTTGACTAGGCAACCGCCGCAGGGCAGCAGCTTTGAAAAGCACAATGAGGCCTGTGCTTTTCACTGGACTCAACTTTCAAGCCATTGGGTCTAGGATGGCAGCTCTATCTAGATGGCTGTGTTGCGGGTTACAGAATACGTGATTGTTAGTCCTGGTGGTTTGCATAAAACTTCCGGCTGCAGAGATCTATGAGTGTCAGATAGCGGCATACACACGAAGGGTATCTTCCCAAGGCTGATGGGCGGAAAGGAAATTAGGAAAGGAATGGCATCTTAGGCTCCACCAGACTTCACTAAATTCATGCTCTCCAGCAATATTCGAGTACAGTCCCCGTTTTTCATCTGTCTGAATGTAGATCCTGATGTATTCATTCTTGCAGCACGTAAGATTAAACTGATTTTTAGTGGGATAAGCCTGGCAGGAAAAATACAACAGCCTGATAAAGTCCTGACACACTACATCAATGCAATGCATATTACTATTTGTGAAATAGATTAAATACCCTTGTCGAGTCTTTCACTATTCAGAAATTTCTAGTAATTCTAAATAAGTACTGTATGTATATGTTGGGACTGCATAGCTGTTAGAGATAGGTTTGATAGAAATACCCATTTTGTATTAAAAACGAGTAAAAAGATAGCACTACTGTACATTTAATAACTTTTTTAAAAAAGTATTTTGAACTTTTATCTTTCTTTGATGTGATTCAATCATTAACCATGTCTATGAATACCCATAGCAGTATTTGTGAGTATTTTATATTTTTATTTTCCGTGCATGCATGAAAAAAGGCTGAAATATGTGTTCTACATAGCAATTTAGGGTAATATTACAAAGAGGACCATAAAAATAGCAATGTGACAAGTTGAGATGATGATATTGATGAAGATGATAATAGTTTGGTTAGTATACCTGGCAGAACCTGAAGACAGCATAATAGAACAAAAACAATTGGAGAAAATCACTAAATTCCCCAAACCTTCAAATCAAAATAAAATGATTGTGGCAAAAGAAAGTAAAATGCCAATAGTAATAGGCACCTTGGATGAAATCCCAAAACAACCAGAGCACCACTTGAACACTGTCAGTATTGATACCAATAACCATTGGTCAATTTGAAAGGGCAGCTTTACTTATGATACCTTTAACATCATCAGACATCAACGTCTGTGTATTTCAGACCCTTGTGAAGTATTTGATAGGTGGATAAAAATGCCAAATCCTGCCATAATAAAATATATAGTGGAAGCTGCCAATTCTTTAACTAGTTTTGATCTTCATTTGCACTGAGTTCTTCCCAAGAACCTAGGATGTTGTAATGTATTGGCATCACATATGTGCAATTCCAAGCAGCAAATTGACAGATGGAAATTTTGTTAGTGCACAAATTTACCAAGCGCTGCCAAAGAGTTTTTGATATGGTAACCAGTCTATAACTACTGGGACCACCAGGGCCAGTTTATGCCATAATCTTTCCGTTTCAATTTTCAGATCTTGATACTTTGTGATCTTCTCCAGTTCTTTGTCTTCCACTATCCCCTGGTATTGCCACATCAATAATCCACATTTTCCTCTTTGCAACATGTGGTGTCTTGTGAACTTATTATTATATATATGCAACATGAAATCACAGCTGCCAATTTTTTAGCTGGGGTAGGCCTTCATATACATCATTATTATGGTTGAGTATATAGTCAGCCAGATGTTTAGGCTGGATTTGGCATTTTTATCTACTTATTAAATCCTATTCAAGAATTTGCGATTTGCAAATTTATCTGTGTTTGATGCCATTAAAGGTATTGTTATTATTATGATTTGTCACACACCCAGATGTTTACAGTGGATTTGGCATTTTTATCCACCTATTGAGTCCTTCCAAGGACCTAGTATAAGCATATATTGTTTATTATTATTTAAATACTAATAAGCTACTTCACTGAATTATAAAGATTATTGAAGTAATGCCTGTAAAATCATTTTATCGCACAATGTATCCTGTCAGATGTTTATTGTTCAAAGAGGAAAAGGCTGTTTTAGCAACAAAAATTTTTTTTTAACCAGGAGTGATATGATTGTACCAGACAAAACTTGCTAGAGACCAGTTTCAAAGCTGGTGAGAATTGGATGTGCTGCAAAGTAGGTGGAAGCACATCAGACATTTGAATGAGCATACTTTGGCTGGGGGTGGGGGAGTTTTAACCAATATGAGAGCCAGTTTGGTCTAGTGATAAAGGCACCAGGCTAGAAACCAAGAGATCATGTGTTCTAGTCCTGCCTTAGACATGAAAGCTGGTTGTGTGACTGAGCCAGTGACTCTCTCAGCCCAACCCAATTTACAGAGTTGTTATAGGGAAAATAGGAAGAGGAAGGAGAAACATTAAAGTAAAAATGATCATAAATATTTGATTATCAATCAGCAAGGTTACAATTAATATGACTAAAACGTAATACAGCCCTTACCTCAGAGATTAGTCACATAAATTTTTAGTTACTCCAGGATCTTGCTTCCTCTATAAATTTATAAAGGCAATTGTTTTTCTCAATATACCTTGACCTCTTATCTTTATAACAATAGAAAGATGACTCAGTTATTTCCTATAAAGTCTTTTTAAGATCAGTGAAAAGTTTTTTAAAATGTTCCTGTGTTCATGATACTTAATGCAGTATCATTTAATACACGATTAATGTCCAGACTTTCCTCTTGAAAATCTGCAGCAATAATATAAATAATCATAAAACCTGTGGCAACTTGACAGAAAGAAGCAAAAGAAAAAAAAGGGAATGTTCAAAAAATCAATTATCAATAGCAGTGACATATTGTAACAAAGCATAAACATGCATATATAAGCTCTTTTTCATTTTATGGAATGATTACATAATATAACATATAAAAAATGTAATACAGAAAATTTATAATATAATTTATAAATATATAAATTAATATGTATATCTCTAAATGGAGATAAGGGTATTTCACACTGAATGTTTCACTTTTCCTTCAAGTTCATTGGAGTTTTTATGGTAAAAATAAAAGTGTTCTGTATGCTATTTATGCATGATAGTTGAACAAGAAGTAATAGGTTCAAAAGCAGAAACAAAATCTTGATTTCTCTTTTTCCTATATTTAGTGTTTGTTGAAGCAAAACACTCATACAGTTTTGTAACTGACAAGGGTTTACATCTGCCTTTACAGCTTTAATCAGCTTGTCTTTTGGAGGAGCTGTTGGACTAATGTTCCTGATGCTTGGTTGTGCCCTTCCAGATTACAGGTATTGTATTTCCTTGTTTTCTTGCAGTTTACAAAATTAAATAAACACAGAACATCTATGCTGATTTCAGTAAAGGTCCAGCAGCCCTCTGAGTGAAAGAAGGCAGTTTTTCCAAGCCATTTTAAGTATTCTATAAGATTGTTTTGTTTTGTTCCTGTTGACTGCTTTTCAGATCATTATGCCTAAAGTAGTACCTTGGTATTCATTGTTAATTGGCTCTGGGAGGCACCGTGAGTACCAAACAATTTTTCTTCGTAAGGAATAATGTTGTTCTGACCCAACCGGGTTCCCAGAGAGCAAGCAGACAAAGGCAGCAACCCCCACATTTTAAGGTTTAATCACAATTCTGTTCCTTTACAGATAAAAGGCTGCTTTCCAACAATTAGCTCTCACAAGAAAGAGCCTTACCAAGTTGTTTGTCAAGGCTGCCAAAAACCCAGAGATAAGAACTAATTTACAGAATTCTTCAAACGAACTAATATGTCCACCAGTTGAGTTTAAGAGCCTCTTTTGCTTTTTGCAAAGAATGCTTTTCCAGACCTGGCTTTTAACCTCTTGAGGGAGGGGCCATTACCTTGCAGCCTTACTCCCAAGTTGCCTGTGCTGCTGTAATTGTTCTTTCCTCCGAGTAATCCTTCATGCACGTGCACTTGGCACAGGCTCCTCGGGAACCTCCTCGTCACTGCTGCCAGCCCCCACAATCTCTGAAGGCAGCAGTCCACTCCCTGATGGTCCTGGCCTCTCATCAGAGTCATCTCTCTCCTCAACCATCTGCACCTGCTGCCGGCTAACCACAAATGCAGTGAGTCACAAGGCAGCCAACACCGAAAATTCTAGCTTGTGCGTTGAGTAACAAACAAATGATGAGTACCAGAACAAAATGTTCACATCAAAATGCATTGAATACCAAATTCAGTAAGTTTCAAAGTAATCAAGTATCAAGGTACTACTCTATCTTTCAGGTTGGCTTGTAACATCTTTTCAAGACATAATAGTGGCAACGGAATTTAAGCCTGTTTTATAATTTTCAGCCTGATTCATAATGATATGCAAATAGAAGCATTTGAAAGTACAATATTTTATTCCCACTACCTTTAATTAATCACTTTTCCTGTTCTGATTGAGAGACATTTAAAGGACTATGTTCTGATTAGATGTCAGGCTGTCAGAATGTATTAACACCTGGCAAAATCTGTTTGTTCAATTTCTTGTTTGTGCTCTCTGCACAGTACTACCTAGGGATTCTTCACCTACAGAGAACCTATTCCAAAAATCTGCTACAACTTGAGTAGTATTATAGGTGGAGAGTCCTGTCCCTAGCCATCATTACATACATCATGCTGTGTATTGTTTTTGTGTAGTATTTTCAATTATCATAAGCAAAAGTATTTTTAAAATTAGACAAAACAAGATAAATGTTAACTTACTCTACACACACGTGCACCCCCAATGGGAAAATAGATAAAATATTTACATAAGAGTAGTGTGATTTTTGAAGCAAATGTAAGTGAAAGAATATAAAATAAAATACGCCTTTTTATTTACTTTCAGCAAATATTGGCCACTGTTTGTTTTGTTCTTCTACACCCTCTCTCCAATCCCATACTGCATAGCAAGAAGACTTGTAGAAGATACAGATGCTACAAGTAATGCTTGCAAGGAACTTGCCATATTTCTTACAACAGGCATTGTTGTTTCAGCATTTGGACTTCCAATTGTATTTGCCAGAGCAGAACTGGTTAGTAATTCCTTCTTTTTAGCAGTTTTCCTTTAATGCTTGATACTTGCTTTCAGAATAAGATACAGAGGTCTGTGGAGATTCTCAGTCATCCAGATCACAGTTGTCTCAAAGGTGTTTTTTTTTTTTTTTTCAAAAGGCAACTGGACTGTTTTTTCCTTGAGGAAGACATTTTGCTTCTCATTCAAGATGCTTCATCAATCCAGAACTGATGAAGCTTCTTGGATGAGAAGTGAAACATCTTCCTCAAGGACAAAACAGTCCAGCTGCCTTTTGAAAGAAAACACCTTTGAGACAAGATGCAGAAGCCTACATAGCACAAGTTAACAAGATTTTGTTAACATATGCAAACTGTCATTAAGTGTTGTGATGCAAAAAAAAAAAAACCTCTGAAAGTTCCCCAGATTTTATATAAGCTTTTGATATACAGTATAACACTCAATCAGTGGGTGTTGGGCATCACCTGGTAAAAATAGTTTGAGGTTATTGAAATTCAGAGGATACCAAGTTGTTTGCCTTCCCACTAGGTAACTGAGTCTAAGTGTTAACGAATAATTTAAAACTGGTTTGCATTAAATAGAACTACTTTGTGAAAGGATGGCATTTCCCTCATTCACAGAGCAATTATGTATGCCTGTAATAAGGCAGCTTCTGTGTTGATGCATGTTATATTTTTTTTGTGTATGTTAAACTTTGTCTTTCCTTTCTCCATAGATTAAGTGGGGTGCCTGCGCACTTGTCCTCACAGGAAACACAGTCATATTTGCTACCATCCTAGGGTTTTTCTTGGTTTTCGGCAGCAATGATGATTTCAGCTGGCAACAGTGGTGAAAAGAGTTGGAGTGAGAACTATCAACATCTCATGTCATTCAGTGGCCATCCATACTCAAAAAAGAATGGGCAATAAAGTGAATGTACTGTTTTCACAGAGGGGACCTGGGGTAGGACACTCGGTAGCCACTTAAATCAAACAACAAACAACATTAACATTTTGCTTGATTTAAATACTTTTAACAAGTTGATGCTGTTCTATTTTAATACTTTATTTTGATGTGAGAATAGAATGCTGAAATGTGATGTTTAAAATGTATCTTTTTTAAAAGAACATGATAGCAGTGTCTAAGTATAAAGTCAAACTTCATGATTATTTTAAAACTAATGTATGGTTATGAAATCAAGTAAGAAAGGAAAAACAAAGAATGGCACAATCCAGTCAAAAGTATGAAGTAGCTCCCGAATTTAGCAAAGATTATGATTATGCAGAGAATTGTGCTTATGTCCTAGTGATTTTAATCAGAGAATTAAGCATGCATTCAATACTTTAATTCTTCTCTGAAAATGAGCTTTATTCTGGAAAGCTGAATTGTGCCCTTCAAGGGCAGTTGCATTTTGTTGTGGGATTTTGGAAAACAGCTGAAAAGCATTCACAGCAGTTTGCTGGTAGGGTTTTTTTTATTATGTACGCTGCTGAAAATACTCCATTTCCATTAATTCCATTTAAATGAGAAAGAAAACTTTTGATAATGGAGTATCTAAGTGTTCATTACTTTAAAAGTTTGTCCAGTGTACAAATATTTTGACAGTTTTATTTTTGATTATCTGAAGGGTGGGGGGGAGATGGAATTTTAATTTTTCTTGAGGGAGTAGAAGACAGGACATTTAATGTTCATTTTTTAAAACCCTTTTTGAAAACTCTGTGTTTATGTATTGTGTGATTCAACATTCTATAATTGTTTTTTACATTTTACCAAAGGAAAAGTTAATGAAACTACTGAGTACAGTTAAGCCAGCAGAAGGAAACCCTGCACCAGGCATGTGGAAATAAGTGACCCTGCTCCTTTACTATTCACTTGTACCTATTACCACAAAATATAAAAAGATAATTTCTGCTCCCGTTTTTTACTTTGTACATGCTATAAAAAGGTTTTCAAATGTAGATAAACATTTCCACTGTAGATAACCATTTACCTGGAAGACTAATTACTGCATACATATACAGTCAGAGCTTGGCTGCATTGCAGATCTTTGACTATGAACATTTTATAGTAATTCTGTTAATGTTTTAGTTTATGCACCAATGTATTAAATGTTAGATCGAAAGTGTAGTTCTGTTAAAATATAACACATGTAATTTGCAATATCGAATATCTGTTCCATGCCACTTGGGATTTTTGTTTCTATTAACCATAAATTATCATGTTTTGTAGATATAATTCTTTTGTAGTCATGCTTTCCTGGTAACTCCTTAATAAGATACCCAAAGGTCTCTGTCTATGCTTGCATGTCATTTTATGCAAGCTAGGCAAGATTTGATATAGTCACTTAAATATAGTCCCTTTATAAAAACAATGCTATTGACGTAGTCCTCTCTACTATCAGCCCAGTCCAGAGTGCCTTGTCTCCTCTCCATGGCTGCTCAGTAGATATACCTGTTTCACAGTGTGTCAGATCCGTGGTGTAAGAGACAGGTGAAAGTGGTACTGTGCACTCGATGGCCAATTACAAATAGTGCTTGGGGCACAGCAATACTTGGCTTGAAGAGAAAGGAGGGAAGAAGACAATTTGCTGATCTTTCTACTGACAGAACTCCGACCAGAGAAGTAGAGTTGAATCATAGCCTACGTTTGCAGACTTCGTAAGATAGTGAATGTTATAGACTGTAGTAGTTATATGCGGCATTATATAAAAACACAGGGATTCCTATGCCCCTCTTTTAAAACTGTATGATACAGATTTCAGATAATTATCTCTAAAGCCTGATAATTATTAGTTTTATCTGTACTGAATCTTCAAAAATATTTTTCCTGAAACTTAAAGACAAAAAATGGGCAAGTGCAAGTGTACTTTGCAAAACCTGCAGTTATTTACATCCCAGTCCAACTTTTAAATGTCTGAACCACAGCAGTCTTAGGAACCATAAGTGCAACTTCTGCTGCGTGATACTAAGATTGATGCAATCATATCCTTGAAGCTCCTTTTGAAATTCCCTGCACTGCACTGATAGTGGAATAGTCTTAGCCATCATATAGATGGATATGGACTCATTTTGTGATCCCCCCCCAATCCTATTTTGTATCAAGATGGGTTCTCATTTTTCCTGTAATACTCTTGCTTTATAATAATGACAGGCTACTCTTCCAGAGTGACTATTCTATTATATTTTATAGTAAAGTTTGTCATCTTAATTTTGGGCAGCACTGTGACTACAGAGCCTATTAGACATACTGCTGCCTCCAATTATCAGGTGTTAAGATATTTGAGACATGTTTTTCCCATGTAATATGCACTGAGAAACATTGCCATCCTACAGGCAGAAATTTTGATGAAAAAATAAACAATTTAAATATCAGATGGTTTTGGATTTTTAATGAACATCCCTTGGCAATAAGTTTTTTATAAGAAAAAAAGTGCTTCATTATTTAGCAGAAATGAACTTATTTAAGATTACTTTTGGTCATATATGTGGCTTTTGACATATACTCTGCATTTTATTACATGTAAACATAATGCTACATTCAACAATTCAAATTCTGCTAACACTGGCAAATTAGTCAAAGAGATTTGAAATAGCATTTGTAAAGATCATAAGCATTTCCTTCAAGTTTAATTTTTAAAAAACAAACAGGAAACATTGAGATGTTTTAAGTGGGAACTAATATAGCAATGTTTTAAATAAATAAACAAAAATTGTTCTAATAAGCCGTTTAAACGTATTCTAGGGAAAAGAGGAATCAAAAACAATTTCTCTCTAAGCTGAACCATGTTGAACTATTTTTGGCAAGAATACTTCCAAAAGCAGAGTGAAAAATGGAGTGAAGAAAAAGCTAGCATGCAAACTATCCTGGTAATTTTAATTTTGCAGTTTTTATATAATGTTTTCCTTGCTCCATTAAACAAGGGGCTCTGCTGTGTGCTAGAGTATCATATTTCATTCAGCCGTGCAAATTGCTTCTGAAATTTTAAATTGCTCTTGAGATTCCATAGCATTCTTACCAAAAGTAAGTATCTCAATGTAAGCTTCCAATTTAGACATTACTGGATATATTCTTTTAAATTACAAATTAACCAAAACACCTTTCACAATAAGAGAACTTCCAGTCTAAAGATACTGGTATGTATAACAAAATCCAGGTTTGGGAGGAATGGTTTTGATAGAATTTGTAGATTGGGATACTTTGTAGTATAATATTTTGGTACTAGAATTGGGAGGTGGAATTACAACAAGACTTATTTCTTTAAAAAAAGATTACTTGATGTCTGACTATAGGCAGTAGATTGGGGAGCATGGATTCTATTAATTAAATATCCAACATGCTGCCTAATATTCTCCCTAAGTGGAGAACTAAGTGGATGGCCCCTCATTTTGTTTGGCTAATTACTAATACTAATTTCCAGGAACTCAATAAAATACAAATTTTTAATGCACTTGGGAACTAGGTCCTGTTGGATGAGAAGCCCCTTACCCACTGAAGAAAACCAGATTTGTTGCTTGGGTTACTTGGGAGTAATGACATAGGACAATAATTATAGCACTAATCTATTAGACTGAACCCAAACTGGAATCCAGTTAGAAATGGACTCTATTGCAATGAATACTAAAAAAGATAACATCAAATATCTAAAATAATTAGGGGTCAGAATGGTTTACAAAGTGTGTTTGTTCTCCACCAGTTTCACAACTAGTGCTCTGCAAAAACATTAGGCTGCAGATTTGAGGTGTTAGATGGTTTTTTCTTTTTTAGAAAATGCAATTTAGGTTAAGAAAGATTAAAGCTGACAGAGTATGCTGTGATTTTCTAATCCCTTTCATCACATGGAAATATGACCAGATTCTAAAAGGCTGGGAAATTCATTTAGCTTCATTCACTGTTCATTTTGTTTATTAACATAGCACGAGGAGAACACAACTACATAGGTCTGCAGTCTTGAATTCAAAAAGGTTATTTTGTTATTTCAGTGTTGGAGGGGAAAAACCTCTATAGAATTTTCAATAACTTTTTAAAAAAAGATACAAACTAATATAAGCTAAGAAAAAATAAAGAGAAAGTTAAAAGTGCAAGGAACAAAAAGTAAAAAAATACGGGAAAATATTCAAAGTAGTAGCTTCTGATCGTTCAGGAATCCAAATATAAATTTAGCTCTTACCCTTCGGTTACAAGATAAGTATAAAAACCCGTTTTAAACAATTCTACTGGATCTTCTATATTCATATTTTTGTTAACACGTTCGTCTTCTCATTTACTCTTGAAACCTGCTAATGCACCAATTATTTTAGTTCTCCCATTAAAGTTTCAGTTCCCTTGAAAGGATCTTCCAGGAGCAAAACTTTCAAGGTTTAAGTTCTACTGACACTCTCAAAGGTTTCCAGATTAGAGTGGCCCTAAAAAAAAAAAGTAACCAAAAACACAGAAAATTTTCGAGCCAGAAGACGTCCCAAGCAACAACAGACCAACTTCTCGCCACCTGAGCACGCTTGCGCCGTAGAGAAATCGCGACGCACCATAGAGAGCTGCCCACGACAACAGAACAGGAATCTCAATTTACTTCCGGTATCAAAGGGGCATATTCAGCTGTTTCCTCTGCTTGTAAAGTTCAGTTAATTTTCTACCTCTGTCAAGATGGCGGCGGGCGGGGGGAGCGGAAGCGGCTCCGGCGCGGCTGGAGCTGCCTCGGTAGCCTCCCTCTGGAGCGAAGTGAATCGCTGCGGCCAGAATGGGGACTTCGGGCGAGCGCTGAAGTCCGTCAATAAAAGTGAGCGAGTGTTGCCGCCCTGTCGGCATATTTTTTTTAAGCGGGGGGGGGGGGGTATCAGTGTTGTCTGGCAACCCTCCGTTGTAGACAATTGCAGCAGCACAAGTGACGGTGCATTTGTCTTCAGAGTTCTTCCGACTTTGTGAGGTAGATTGCTATCTGCCTTTCCCTGACGTAGGTAGAGCAGCGCCAAAGGAGTAACAGCTGGCCCTGCTTGAGATGAAATTCAATTGGAGCTTGTTATTCTGGACTGCTTCGTTTCTCGATTAAAGATACTATGTATCTGCTTTCACGCTGATCTCGCCATGGGCGGGTGGGGTAACCCTCGCCTCTTAGAATGGCTGCTGGCTACTTTGCTTTGGCCTTAGCCGATTAATGTGCCTTTTTGCCCCAAGATCTGTGACATAGGAAGGGTAGTAGTAATGCCGATGTTTTA